AATTTTTAAGTCTGCTTCGCAGTCGTTTAAGTTTTACTAAGTAAATTATAAAAACAGAAATTGAGTGAAAACGTAATCTTTCTTTAAGAACATTATTAAAAGAAAGATTACGTTTTCACTCAATTTCTGTTTTTATAATTTACTTAGTAAAACTTAAACGACTGCGAAGCAGACTTAAAAATTCTTTTCTTAAGAAGTTATAATTTACTTTTTGAACGGTGAATTTTTATACACGTTGTACAGTTCTGACTGTGATTCTACTTCGTTTCGTTCGTACAAACCTGACTTTTTGGCGAGACAATACTGCGTTCGCCGAAATGCTTCTTAATTTTATCGCCGATTTCGTTAACCATATCGCCGACATCGCGTAACAAAAATGCAATTTGCAGCATCGCTTCAGAGAACCAGTCGCTGGAGACAGGAAGTTCCTTCGAACTTTGCCGATAACGTTCGGCAGTCGTGGTCAGATTGCAATCTTCCGCGAATCCCATCAGCTTGTTCCGCATTGAGTCGCACATCTCGCGAATCGACGATTGCAGATTGTTCCCGGTTGATCTCAGTATAATCGGCTTGTTGATTGGTTCCGCCAACGTTGACAGAAAACGTCGAATCGTTTCCTCCAAGGATTTCACTTGCTCTGGATTAACCAGCAGCAAAGAATGCGACTGTTCATTCTCCGGTAAAACGAGAGAATTATTCCGTTTACGGTGTTCGGAGCTGATCACTCGTCCGATCACGCCTGTTTATAATTAGGAAAAATTGTAATGAAAGATTTGAGACGTCGTTTTTTGATTGGATACTCACCTAGGAGTAGTAAGAGGAAAATGGAGTTACGGAACATGATGTACGCACGGCGTTTCTTTGTGGTTATGGCTTTTCGCAAGTTTTTCCTGGTATATATGACTTTACTTGATTAGGATTTACGACGGTTTTTGACAATTTTCCTTGAAATATGACGGTATTTTGTCATTTTTCGACGTCTCAGGACGATGCTGGCAGGTGATAAAGAATAAGGCAGTAAAAATGAGTGATGTGTGATGGTATTCAGAAAATATGTAGCACTGGAGCAACTATTTTTTTGAAAATAACAAGAACGAATTCATTCTTTTAATGTCGACTTAATTTTAGCCTGATATACTCTATGAACGTTAATTAATTTATTTAACACTTCCCCGCGAATGCATCCTTGCGATCTGAATAATAAACTTAATGATAAATAAATAAAATCAACTTTGATTTTAACTTCTGTTAGAAGTTAGAATGCATCCTTGCGATCTGGATAATAAACTTAATGATAAATAAATAAAATCAACTTTGATTTTAACTTCTGTTAGAAGTTAGAATGCATCCTTGCGATCTGGATAATAAACTTAATGATAAATAAATAAAATCAACTTTGATTTTAACTTCTGTTAGAAGTTAGAATGCATCCTTGCGATCTGGATAATAAACTTAATGATAAATAAATAAAATCAACTTTGATTTTAACTTCTGTTAGAAGTTAGAATGCATCCTTGCGATCTGGATAATAAACTTAATGATAAATAAATAAAATCAACTTTGATTTTAACTTCTGTTAGAAGTTAGAATGCATCCTTGCGATCTGGATAATAAACTTAATGATAAATAAATAAAATCAACTTTGATTTTAACTTCTGTTAGAAGTTAGAATGCATCCTTGCGATCTGGATAATAAACTTAATGATAAATAAATAAAATCAACTTTGATTTTAACTTCTGTTAGAAGGTAACAATTGGGACGAACGAACATGATGAACGAAATAAAATGATATAAGATTAGGTTCTTCATTTTTATGTTGCGATTTTAATGTATTGCATAGTACAACTCATTCTAATATTGTTCATAATATCCACAAAAACAATAGGAATTTCTTCATCACGACGAATGAAATAAAATGGTATAGGACTAAATCCTCATCTTTTATGTTATGATTTTATTGTATTGCATAGTACAACTCATTGGTTCTTCAGCAATTAATGTTTCCCTTTATCTTCCAATATTGTTCATAACATCCACAGAAACAATAGGAAGTAGTCCATTCTTAAACAACAGCCTTATAAAACTAAAAAAAGTATCGCATTGTGCTCTGAATTACAATCTACAATTTGTATATCTTTAAATCATAATAAAATACATCTACGCGATTTATGTATTTTTAAATCATAATAAAATACGTCTACGATTTGTCTATTTTTAAATCACAGTAAAACACATGTGCAATTTAAACGCGCTAAAATCATAATAAAATACATCTACGATTTCAATGCTTTTAAATCATAATAAAATACACCTACAATTGTTACACATGAAAATCATAATATCTGAACGCTGAAACGCAGGGTAAATAAAAAATGGCGGCGACCGCAAGCGAATACGCGTCTTTAATAAAGAAAATGGCGGGCCGACGCCTGCGCTGGGACTCTCACCCTGGCAACATACGGCCAAAACAAACGGTGCAACCACTCTGTTCACAGCCGCAACGATAAAAACAACGATAAAAACAGCTTCGAAAGAATATTAGTGCGATCTACAAAACTCGAGACAACAAAATAAACCGCTCGCCCGAAAGTTTCCAGGTAACAGCGTTTCATACGTTAAATCCGCCCAAGATCTAATCGCCCTCGGCAAATTAACCGAGATACCGTCTATTGTTATTCCTGGCAAGAGCTTAGCATCCACGATCTCTGAAAAGCCTAAGAAAAATGATGTCATCGCGGAGACAGCTACACCGTTGACTCACGGATGCTATTCGAGAGTCATGGCGCCATCGGTGTCAGGTGCGTCTGCGGATCAAAGTTAGGTTAAACACCGCGCTGCCAAAAAAAGTTCTCGACGTCGTCGCACACCGAATCATTGTCATCGCAAACGCGTCGGGTTTCACGGAAGCAAATCAATTCACGGTAGAAAGTACCCGATAAGAGGTCGGAGTGGCAGCGTGTCGAAGGATCCGGTCGATGCGATATCCGTGAGCGTCTGCCATCTAGCGGCTGGAATCGTACTTATCTCGAACAGGGCACGGCAATGTGTCTGGCTATCGACGACAGTGCAGGTTGACGTACCGGCTTCGGCGTCACGTTTACTGGAATTTCTGACGTCCACCAGACTTCCCAGACCTGTGCAAGGTCGCGCGGTGTGCCGCCAGCCGGAGACGGTGTTGTTCCCGAGGAGGATGCTGTTTTAATTGTACCTGCGGCGCAGTCGACACCTGTCAGGATGGACGAGGAGGCTATGTGGAGAGGCTTCTACCAGAAGATCGTCGAGGAGCAGGAGTCCAAGGAGAAAGAGAATCAAGAGAAGACGGAGCACGAGACAAGGTAGAGAGAGAGAGAGGCCTCCCAGCCGGCAATCGGACACACTCTAGCATTGTGGCTTGCTACTACCTTGCACTTAACTCTCGCTATTTGTGCCTAATTTAATCCATCTTCTAATTCAGCGGCAGTGATGCGCTCGGGTAACTCTGCCGCAACGTGTGTTGTGCTTTCGGGCCCGGTCTACGCGGAGCCTGGATCGGACGGGACCTGTTTAACGTGCTCTTGAATTGTGACGCGAACTGCGCCGAATCGGCAGATCTTTCGCCTAGAGGTTTACGGATTTAGGTTAACCGAGAAAATCGAAGGAAGGAAGAAAATCGAAAGAATTGATTTTGTACTTGAAGGTGTGATCGAATCCTTTAGAAAGAATTGAATGAACTTTGTAGGTACTTGAGACGATTTTGTTAAAAAATTTTGTTAATGTGCTCTTGAATTGTCGCTAACTGCGCCGAATCGGCAGATCTTTCGCTAGAGGTTTACGGATTTATGTTAACCGAGAAAACCGAAAGAAGGAGGAAAATCGAAAGAATTTGACAAAATGAGAATATCGAATTAATTTTGTACTTGAAGGTGATCGAATCCTTTAGAAAAAATCGAATCAACTTTGCAGGTACTTGAGACGATTTTGTTAAAAGAAACAAAAGCGAAACAAGCGATTTAGCTTCAAATCTATGCGAAATACAAGATTTAGCTTCAAATCCATTCGAAATACAAGATTTAGCTTCAAATCCGTGCGAAAAAACGATTTTGCTTCAAATTCATGAGAAACAAATGATTTAGCTTCAAATTCATGCAAAACGAACTATTTAGCTACAAATTTGAGCAAAATACAAGATTTAGCTACAAATTCGTGCAAAATACCAGATTTAACTACAAATTCGTGCAAAATACACGATTTAGCTTCAAATTTATGCGAAATACAAGATTTAGCTTCAAATTCATCCGACAGAAACGATTTAGCTTCAAATCCATGCGAAACAAACGATTTCTGTAAGATATTTTGTTCGATTTCGACGAATGTTAATAAAACGCAGATGTTTTTGTGCAGATTACAAATATTTCTTCTATCAACAATTTCAATAGGTAACGATTAGTCCGTGGATCTTTAAAATTAAAATTGACGGTACTAATTGAAGAAAGTAGGAGATAGATACAAATGTCTCTCTTTCTTTAACCGTTTGAATAGATTGAAGATAATGTATCGGTATCTCTAATTCTTTGAATGCTTTTACTGTTTTGCGTTTGACCTACTAATTTGTTTGTCGGAAATGCTTAAAATGCACAGTCTGGTAACAATAGTTTGAAACTTTTGTAATATCGTTACAGTGTTGTATTTTATTTAGTTATAGGTACATTAAATTCCTAGACGAAAAAATAAATAAATGTAAAGATAATATAATATATATAATAATAAAAAAATATAATTAATAATTATTATATATATAACAATAATAATTAATAATAATTATATAATACATATAATAATATATATAAATAATAATAAAAAAACAGTAAAAATAGATGAAATAGTGAAAAAAAGAAAGCAGTAAAAACAACGTTGGTAACAAACACGTTAATAGTTTCTCTTACAGTGAGTGGTTTCTCTAACAGCCAACTTTGCAGACTCTCATGTGATCGAGACGGAAACATATCTTTGACATTCAAATTTCTAGAAACCATGTTAACGCAATGACTCACTCGTTACTAATGCACAATGTCAGCGATGGAATTTAACAGCTGATTTCACGGAATATTTGTATACAAGGAATGTCACTTAAAATTGTACGCTCAGGAATTCAGCGGATTTTCACTGTATAAAACGTGACAATTGTAGGAAATGACTAAAACGCATACATAGACACGTAGATGAATGCTTCTTCATTTAATATATGTATAGCAACAGTAGAAAAAACTTTCAATAATTATTAATAAATTAAATAAAATTTGTCGTTATGTACAGAACTAACTATGCCCGTAAAAATCGCACAGTATATATTTTCAACAGAGAAAGTAGAGAGTTTGAATAGAAATTTGAATTTAACATATAAAGCTTATGTTAATATTTTGTAGGATATCCACGCACATTTTCAACACATTTTCGTTATAGGTTTTAAAAAGACGATAGATTTTAAAACGTTATTTTATTATTGTATTATATTTATTATATTATTATATTTTATTTTATATATTTTTGGTCGTCCTAAATAATAACAAAATTTAAAAAAAGCATTTTGGTCATCGTCTGGTAGACTGATCCCGTTATCGTCTAAAAACAAAATTCAAGTCACTCAGTCAAGTTTTAAAAAAGTTATCGCGTCTTAAAATTTGGTGAGCAACAGTGCGTTTGGAGAAGTTCGTCTTATCTTGTTCGTAGAAGTGAACAGGTTTATTCGCCGATAAACTTTCCCAAGAATTTTCGCAATGCGCGGATTCCTAACTTTCGAATTCCCGCCTAAGAAAGATGTCTCGTGCTTCGGCCAGTTTCTTGGACCAATCGCGTTTAATGTGCCACACGCGGCCGCGTGCTCGTGCTATTAATAAACTCAGACTAATGAACGACTTGGAACATCCGAGTTCAATTTTGTCTCCCGAGTTCGATGTTTAGATGGTTGTTCTCGATGGGTGTCCGTCTTGCGGTCCCATCCTTAGCTTCGTGTTTGGTTCGAATCGATGAAAAATTCATGATTTTTCCATTGTTTTGAATATACAACCTGTAGATACAATCGTAGCAGTTAATGAATAAAACTGTTCTAAAGTACTGTACGAAGTCCCAAATTACAATAAATTTAAAGATTATAAACATAATATGCATGTATATCCGTAATTCTTGCATTGTTTGGTAGATATCTG